GACTGTATAGAGCTTCTCTATCTTTGGCTGCAGAGAACATAATCAATCTGATTTCGGTACTGCCCATCTGGTGATGTCCATGTGTAGAGTCACCTCTTGTGTTGTTGGAAAAGAGTGTTTGTGATGACCAACTTGTTCTCTTGACAGAACTCTATCAGCTTTTGCTCTGCTTCATTTTGAACTCCAAGGCTGAACTTCCCTGTTTTTTCTTTTCTCTCTTGACTCCCTACTTTAGCATTCCAATCCCCTATAATGACAAGAACATCTTTCTTTGTTGTCAGTTCTAGAAGGTGTTGTAAGTCTTCATAGAACTGGTCAATTTCATCCTCTTCAGCATTGGTGGCTGGTGCTTGAATTACTTTGAAATCATTCAATCATTTTTGAGATTGTATACCAGTACAGCTTTTCCCACTCTTTTGTTCACTAAGAGGACTACTCAATTTCTTCTATGGGATTCTTGCCCACAATAGTAGATATGATAATCGTCTGAATTGAATTCGCCCATTCCTGTCCATTTTAGTTCACTGACGCCCAGAATGTCAATGTTTATTCTTGCCATCTCCTGTTTGACCACCTTCAGCTTACCAAGGTTCATAGATCTTACATTCCAGGTTCCTATGCAGTCTTTTTCTTTGCAGCATCAGACTTTCCTTTCACTTCCATACACATCTGCAGCTGAGTTTCTTTTCGGCTTTGGCCCAACCACTTCATTGAGCTACTTTTGGATTTAACCAAAAGAAAAAAAACTTTCTACTCTTAACAGTATTGTGATCTGGCATCTTTAAGAAGGCAATGAAGCCCAAGAAGATGAATGCTTTTGTGAACTGTGTATAAATTTCACATGTAAATGTTAAAATAAATTCTTAGGTTGCAGGCTTCTAATATAACAGTGGATCCTTTTTTCATCAAACTTAAGGGGGGAAATCTTTAAGTCCTGTAAAAAGGGTATGTTCACTGAGGGTCATCATTAGGTTATATGAGACATTAGATATCTTCTAGTGATTGGATATTTTATTTATTTTTTATTTAATTTTCTGAGTTCCTTCAAACAACCACTGGACAGTACGAATTTTGATATTTACAACCCAGTTGCAAGAGTTGTAGTCACATTAAGGTAAAGGTTCCCCTTGACATTTAGTCCAGTCGTGTTCGACTCTAGGGGACGGTGCTCATCCCCATTTCCAAGCTGTCGAGCCAGCGTTTGTCCAAAGACAGTCTCCGTGGTCACGTGGCCAGCGCAATTAGACACAGAACGCCGTTATCTTCCCACCGAGGTGGTACCTATTTATCTACTCACATTTTTACATGCTTTCGAACTTGGCAGGAGCTGGGACAAGCAATGGGAGCTCACTCTGTCGCGTGGATTCGATCTTACGGCGGCTGGTCTTCTGACTTTGCAGCACACAGGCTTCTCGGTTTAACCCTCAGCACCACCATGTTTCCTAATGTAATCACATTAGCCCTGATCAAATTTACTTCAGCAACTTTCTGTTTGACTTATTAACGAAAGCATTTACAGTTCTGTTGCAAATTAATTCACGGGGCAGGTGGAAGGCAGCAGCTGAACTGAAGAACTGGGCTTTAATCCATGAAAGTTTATTCCAAATAAAATTTGCCTCAAGGTGCTCCAAGATTCCGCTTTTATCTATTAATGCTGACAAAGATATTCAGATAACAAAAATACATGCCAAACAGTATAACTTTATTTTGTATGATAGGATGCTGTTGAAAACATGACCATTTTATGCTGAAGTATCTTTTCTGATAAAACTTAAGTTCATCATCTGTGAACATGCACTTTTGCATCAGCATCTCAGAAGACCAGGAAGAAACTTGAATAATCAATCAATTTATTCTTCTTTATGAGGATCATTTGTTATAAACACAGCTTGAGAAGAAAGTAGCTTTGTAAGAGGAATTCTATTTTGTTTATTCTGTGCTGATTATCTTGACATGTATTTATGTCGTCTAGATTGCTTTGTTTGATCTAATTGGCTTCAAATGCTTTTTTCCTCTGGTACTATAGAAGTGAGGAGAAATGTTCACTGGATCCATCCATCAGTCAGATAAAGGCTGCTTACTTAGACTAAGCATATGTATACCTAAAGACAGGGAGACCCACCTGTCTCATTTACATGATATGGCATAGATTATGTAACTTTAAGAACTAGTATCTGAGATTATTGCTTTTGTTTTCCATCCCTATTCCTTTTGTAATTGTATCATATTTATTAGACTGTGAAACTGCAAGGAGAAGTTTTCTTGGCTTTTATTTCTCTGTACAACATTTTAAACAGTTTAGGTGCTTTAGAATTCATTAAGAATAATTGTGGTGAGTTAGGGTCGCAATAAAAATGTTAACTTGCCTTATATAATGTGTAGTACCATAATACATTTGTTGCTGATAAATATTTTATTAAAAATATGAAAAGGTAGCACAAATATTTAATTCTTTTTAATTTACCAGTGTGACAAGAGTTATATATAAAATTTCAAAGCAAGGCTATCAAATGTACTGAAAACTATATTGAGAGTACTTTATTGAAATCTCACTGGGTAATTAGCTAAGTTGTAGACATCAGGACAAAAGAGCTTAAAATTTTTTCACTTTTTTTCAAGACTGTACGAAAAATTAAATTTAGGATTCTTACAAGGCAATTGAATTATCAACTTGATTAATCGTCAAAATTATAACCTATAATATTTTCAACAATGCATAATTATTAAAAAGTGCTACCTATATAAAAGAGAGAATTAAAGGAGAGAGGAAATATATTCTATTTACTCCAAGAAATTTAGAGGCGTTTTAAGTTTCTCTTGCTTTTAGCACTTCCTGGCAAGGCATCTTTTCTGTTTTGTCGTTTAGTAGATAAACTGCTACAATCTCTTGACCCATGGAAAGCGCATAAACATAAAATGCAGAAGTCAAAAGCACAGTCTTCCCGGCTACAGAGTCCACGATTTTTTATGGATTGGTATTTGGCAGGACACTGACACTTTGGACACGGTTTTAAAGCTTCATCGCTGAAGAGAGTTTGGGCAACCTATATCAGGAGAACAGATAATATTTAGAATTTCAGCAAACATGCATTTTGATTGTCAATTACTGCATTCCCTTATTGAATGTTACAGAAAGTTACAGTAGATTATTGTAGAGCTATATTCAGATAGAATACTGAATAAAGTTTTACCACAACTAAGAAATAAAGGCAAGTGACAGCTGGTAAAAAGCTAATGATAAAGACCTATAAGTTTCTCGGCATTTTGCTGCAGCTCTCTTATGTCTGCCATGTATGTCTTATATAAGTGTTTGTTGCCACAGAGGTTGACCTTTTTGTCATGGCATGCACATTTTAAATGCTTTGGGTATTTGCACTATCCTACAATAATTCTGTAGAATTATATTCTGAATTTCTTGGTTTTGTTCTCACAGATCTTTGTAGTTGCCTACCTTTATATATTTATCTTGCTTACTAGTTGATTGGCTGTATCTCAGAGGTGTCAAAGATTCATTATGAAAGAGCTGACTTTGTAATACTGAAGATTTTGCTTGAGCCTGGACTCGTCGTAGTGCAAATCTAGTCATCATTAGTCTAGTGGCAGCATCTTCAGGATCTAGTAGGCTTCCCTGTTAAATTTTCCAAACACTACAGATTACTTTTGTACTGTATGCCAGCCATGCCTTTTAGCAGAAATCCTATGCTATAGGTTAATCAGATAAGCTGTAACAAAAGAAAAATAGTTAAAAAAATACGGAACATTTCTATGAAATTATGTTTCCATAATAGATTTTAGATTTTCAGCTACACTTTTTGTCTGACCATGTGTCACAGAGTCCCATATATAATCTACATTGTATTATAGGGAATACTGCCCAGGCTTTTTGTCAAATATCAACAATTTATGGACCCTAGATCAGAGGTCCCCAGCCCCCAGTCCACGGCCCGGTACCAGTCCGTGGCCTGAGCTGGATCAGGCCGCCAAGACATACCTTCCCCCACGCACGCACTCACCGCTGCACAGCCCGTGTGCGGCTGAGCATACACTCCAGCACACACATGCGAGCACTGCGCCGCCGTTTATGCATGCACACAAGTGAGCGTGCACCCAGACAAGTGCTGTGCTGCCATTTGTGCATGCACACAAGCACACCCGAGGGAGAGAGAGAGAGAGAGCTTGTTCGCGCATGCGCACGAGCGCAGGGGGGTGCCCCGCCTTCCCCAGCCGGTCCGCGAACTGAAAAAGGTTGGGGACTGCTGCCCTAGATCACACATACAATACTTATTTTGCCTGCATATTGGAAAGGAGATTCAGTAGCGAAGGGTAGATTGTCTTCCAGGAAACCTCCTATAAGCCACTTTTATGGTTTTTTAAAGAAAATATCAAGAAAGGAAATAAAGATGCAAGGAAATAAAAATTGTGAAGTGATAAGGTTTAATTTTAAATGTGATCTTTCAGAACTTATTTAAAATTTAAAAAGCTCTCTTAAGCTGTCTTCTGGAATAATAACCATTTTATTATAAATATATTTTAAGTATGGCTGAATTACATTTTTAAAATGTTAAGTATATGGATTTTCAGCAGGGCTCCTTAATTGCATAATGAAAGTTTTATGTTAAAGAACTAAAGTCTGATTTCAGCTCTTTCTGTTTATCCCGACAAAACTCCAAACATCCCTCAGAAATGGTATGTTACTTTCGCTGCTATGTGTCACAGTAGAAAGAGTGACAGGCTAGGATTCAGGAGAATTGGATTCAAATCCTTGCTTAGCCATGAAAACCTGAGGGGGTTAGTGAAAAACCTAAAAGGGGATAAATCCATCCTCTGAATATCTCACACAACTTGAAAACCTTGTTGGGTTGCTGTAAGTCAGGTGCAATATGATAGGACATAACATACCTTTGTTGCTGTTCTTAGCTGTTTCATGTATAACTTTCTTCTCCGATTTGCATATTTATCTTGTATAATAATTTCTCGCCAATTTTTGCTTACATTCCACATACTGAAACAAAGAACTACTATCATCCATATTGACACATTAAGCAAATACTCAGTAGATTAGATTCCTTTGTCCCTCACAATCTTTTAAAACATCAGCTTCAACCTGGTGCACTTGAAATAGGCTGGGCTTTTATCAAGAGCAAGTAAAGGGCAATGACTTTAGCACTGACAATACATTGATATTAAGTACTTTCTTTACTAACACCAGCACTTGATAATAACATATTTAATAGGCATCATAATTCAATGTAAAATGAGATATATGAAACAATATTGTCACCAGATTTATCAATTAATTTGCCAAATCCCCAAGCCTTACTTAATTTCAGCAAGAATGTATCCCAAACATTTGACATTTTGGAATTAAATAAAGCAAAACAATATTTGAATAGAAGAGCAGAAATGGACAACTGAGATCTGCAACTAAGATCTCAGGCTTTCAAGCTTCTTCAGTCCATACCCACCTCCACAGTTTTCTGCCCTCAATTGTCAACTACATATTCAGTTCTTACAAGAGTTCCCCTGCATAAAAAGTGATATTTTGGTAATATAATGCTAGGTGCTCCAAGAATTACGATCACTATTAATAAATAGAATTTCAGTTTGATTCCCTTATACAGTGGTGCCTTGAGTTGCAAACGTAATTCGTTCCAGGATGATGGTTGTAACTCAAGTTGTTTGCAACTCAAAGCACCATTTCCCATAGGAATACATTGAAATGCAATTAATCCATTCCGGATGTTTTTAAAGGTTAAAAAAAAAAGGGCAGGAAAGGAGGGAGGAAACAATGGGGAAAAGAGGAAAGAAATAAGGTCATCAGTGGGGTACACAGACCCCTCAGACAAAGGTTTGTACTTTTAGGTCCAAAAAGAGAGAGGATAGAGCTGGTCGTAACTCGATTTGGTGGCAAGTCAGGACTGTTATAAGTCGAGGCACCACAATGCAAAAGCGATTAATCCATCCACAAGGGGAGACTTTTTTTAAACCTAAAATGACTTCTAAGGTTTAAAAAAGGGCAGGAAAGGAGGGAGGGAACAATGGAGGAAAGAGACCTTTTTCTGGTTGTATCTCAAAGTGCTGGTTGCAAGTCAAAACAAAACGTTGCGACTGGAGCTGATTGTAACTCGAACTGGTTGCAAGTCAAGACGGTTGTAAGTCGAGGCACCACTGCATAGCAGTCAGGCACATTCTGTGAAATTTTATAATACTCTAAGTTGTTTCTTACCTGTATAGGCTTTCTACAGTCAGGATATCTAAAATCATAGTAAGAATATGTTTTAAATTTCTGTCTCTTAATTCTGTTAATACATCTATCTTTTCAATGCCCATTTTCTTGCCTATGAGTTGAGCAACAATACACTTTACTGCAGACAAGTCAGCTCCTTTAATGTTCTTCTGTAGCTCATTTTGCTCCATTCTTTTACTTCTGCTTTGCATAAAGAGTATGTGAACTACCTGCAAAGCTGGAGTTCTCGATAGATTTTCAAGATTTGGTACCACACAGTTATTGTCATCCTCATTAAAAACTAATTCATGGTCTTCATTGAGAGATCCAGTGGCTGGGTTTTTTGTGCATTGTGAATTAGCGAGAACAATATCACAATCTTCTTTTTCTGATTGTGAGCCACATTCTGAAAGAGTGGAGAGTCTTCTTGAGTGCAGTAGCTTTCTTACCTTTCTTTTAGAATTTGAAAAGCTGGATTCATTGGATTTTTGACGAACATCACATGACTCTATTTGTTTGTTTTTTCTGCATTTTTGAAGTAGTTCTTGGAAAGATCCCTCATGATCTGACAAAGAATCTTCTGATCTATCAAAGCCAAGAGAATTATAGCTGCTGTTGCAGCTGCTGTCAGGTGTTAATAGGTTCAAGTTGCTTATTTCCTTAGTTGGTGGTGTATATATTTCAGCTATAGTGAGGTTAAATCCTTCTACAAGACTATTTACTGGTGTGACACATTTGTCATCATTTGTCTTAGACACAGTATAATGAGTATCTCTAACTAGCTCTGAACAAATACTTTGATCATTAAAACTAGTAAGGGCACTGTCAAAGAAACTGTTAGGTGTCTCTGTAGAAGATTTAGACTGAATTGGAGATAAACAGTCTGGTTCTGACAATAAAGTACCTTGAGGCTTTGAATCATCTATTGTAGAAGTCCTTTGCTGGGAAAACAGAAGCCTTAGTTTCTGACAACCAGAAGGAGGATCTTCACTTTTCAAAGTACTGGTAGCCAATGGCTTATAGCTCTTTTCTCTTGGAGAATTCAAGGCATGTTTTGAAATTCTTTCATCAAAACTAAGAAAGCGAGGTAAACATGTTTTCTTCTGGCTCTGCCCCAAAGATGACACCAGTCTTTCAGTGCATCCCAGAGCACCAGCAGAAGCTGCCTTAGACACAAGCAATCTTCTGCGGAGTGATAAGTCTTTCTTAGCAACTCTGGGTGTTTCAAAATAGTCTGAATGTAGAGAGGCTTCCTTCCTTTCTGATAAAAATATAGTATTTCTATTTTCAATGGGAGACAGCACTGAAGTGCATAAACTACTAGAATGTGTATGTTTAAAATATTCAGGCAGGCTTCTTTTATTGTGTTCTCCTTTATGTTCCGCATCAGTATAATCAAAGCTTGGGTCTTTTAATGATTCATTGTATCCACTGTCATGAAATATGGAAGGGGAGCAAGTATCTTTAAAGTTGCAGAGTTTTATACTGTTGCAAGGAGAAGTCAGTTTGCCTTTTTTAAGAATATTCGGTAGAACTGAATGACTTTCTGACATCTTGTGTTGGAACTGGTTATGCTCTGTAAATTAAAAATAGCATTGTGTATCAGAAATTAATAAAAATAAATTGAATTTAGGAACCTGGAATTCTTGGGTAACTAACAGAATATTTATGGGCAATTCTTTATTCAGGAGAAGAAGTCACCAGAACCTAACTGAGTTGCATGTAATTATACATATCTATTATAAAAGTATATGAAAAACATCTTCATTATGTTTCTAATAATTTGCCAGGATTATTACTCAACATTTGGTTATGACATTAGGTAAGGGTTCCCCTTGACATTTAGTCCAGTCGTGTCCGACTCTAGGGCGCGGTGCTCATTCCTGTCTCCAAGCCATAGAGCCAGCATTTGTCTGTAGCCAGATTCTGTGGTTACGTGGCCAGCGCGACTAGACACGGAACGCCGTTTAAATACTTTCAAACTGCTAGGTTGGCAGGAGCTGGGACAAGTGATGGGAGCTCACTCTGTTGCGTGGATTCAATCTTATGACTGCTGGTCTTCTGACCTTGGCAGCACAGAGGCTTCTGAGGTTTAACCCACAGCGCCACCACATCCCTGCCTGTGACATTATGACATTAAACATTCATAAATAACTATATTAGTTATCTTGTTATTTTAATTCCTTGAATCATTAATACTGATATTCTATATTCTTAAGTAAACCAGAGACTGATAATGTGGAAGAGTAAAGAATCCAAAGTAAAATTTAAAACCCTTGAAATCACTCATTTTCCTTCCTGTATTGTAGTCATACAAATTTTAAATCTGTAAACAATATATCTTCATTTTGAAAAAAATGAATGCAATAATTACTATCTAGCAAATATACTGACTTAAATGTCAAAAACAAGAAAAAACTTGGAAGAATATTCAGCTTTTGGGATTAAACATAGGGTCATGTGAAAAACAAAGAACATCCTCTTTGAATTCTATGCTTTTATGTATTAGGACATAATAAAAATCATCTGGTCTGAAAAATAAATACAGCCTCAGATGAACAACTCATGACATGTTACATTGTGTCATGATTAATTTAACAAAAATAAAGCCAAAATGGGGAAGCCATGCATGAAAAATTAAAATACATCCTTATTGCTTCCATAGGAATTCAGGCTAAGTAGTAGTCAGGTGCTGCTAACCGAATGCCCTTGAGTACTTGATCATTAGCAAGTGTGACCACCTCTGTAAAAGCTGAAGTTTTAGCAGTTTGCTGGTCTGGAGCATTCAAGTGTGTGTTAGCATAATGCCAAGGAGGAAACACATCAGCAATGATTGTAAAGAAGCCATTGTTGCTGCCCATCAACCTCGGAAGTGTTATAAGGACATTTCCAAACATTTCAAGTCCATCATTCTACAGTGAGGAAGATTATTCACACGTGGAAAACATTCAAGACAGTTGCCTTTCTTCCCAGGAGTGGACATTCAAGCGAATTCACTCCAAGGTCATACTGTGCAATGCTCTGAGAAATTGCAAAACAAACAAAAAACAAACCAAGAGTTACATCTCAGACTCTACAGACCTCAATTAGCATGCTAAATGTTAAAATTGATGACCGTACAATTAGAAAAAGAATGAACAAGTATGGCTTGTTTGGAAGGGTTGCCTCTTTTCTATTAAAAAAACACATGGTGGCACAGCTTAGGTTTGCAAAGTTGCATCTGGGCAAACCACAAGACAATGTCCTTTGGACAGATGAGACCAAAGTGGAGATGTTTGGCCATAATGCACAGTGCCATGTTTGGTGAAAACCAAACACAGTGTGTCAGCACAAATACCTCATACCAACTGTCAAGCACGGTGGTAGTGGAGTGATGTTACTGAGTTGACCATGAACTCTTCGGTATACCAAAATATTTTAGAGTCAAATGAGAGCCCTTCTGTCTAACAGCTAAAGCTTGGTCGAAATTGGGTCATGTAATGGGACAATGATCCCAAGCACACCAGCAAATCTACAACAGAATGGCTGAAAAATAAAAGAATCAAGGTGTTCTGATGGCCCAGTCAAAGTCCAGACCTCAACTCAATTGAAATTCTGTGGCGGAACTTTATAAAAGTTGTGCATAAACAAATGCCCTCAAACCTCAATGAACTGAAGCAATGTTGTAAAGAGTGGGCCGAAACAATGTCAGAGACTCAAAGTCATACAGAAAACAATTACTTCAATGGATTAAATCGGGGAAAACAAAAAATCACCAAAAATTAAAGAAGACTCAGAACAAAGCCAAACTAAGTGTGCATAGGTTTCACAAGGTGGACTAACTATTCCAACCATTTTAAACAGGTTTCAAACATTTTAAGACACTTTTAAATGAGCAAAAACGGACATCGTTAAGTGAAATTCCCCCATAGAGAACATTGTTAAATGATGTGGAAAATTCCTCAAAGAAACCATCGCAAAGCGAATACATCGTTAAACGAAGCAATCGCTAAGCGAGGCACCACTGTAATCTAAACCAAATCCCTTATGATTACACAGTGGAAGTGAAGGAACAGATTTAAGGAACTCGATTTGGTGGACAACATGCCTGAAGAACTTTGGATGGAGGCTCGTAACATCGTGCAGGAAGCAGCAAGAAAAACCATCCCAAAGAAAAGGAAATGCAAGAAAGCAAAGTCGCTGTCCAACTAGGCCTTACATATAGCAGAGAAGAGAAGGGAAACAAAGTGCAAGGGAGACAGGGAAAGTTACAGAAAATTGAATGTAGACTTCAAAAGAATAGTAGAGACCTGAGAGAAGCAGAAGACATCAAGAAGAGGTGACAATAATATACAGACGAATTATACCAAAAAGATCTGGATGTCCCGGACAACCCAGATAGTGTGGTTGCTGACCTTGAGCCAGACATCCTGGCGAGTGAAGTCAAGTGGGCCTTAGAAAGCATGGTTAACAACAAGGTCAGTGGAGGTGATGGCATTTCAGTTAAACTATTTTAAATCTTAAAAGATGACGCTGTTAAGGTGCTACACTCAATATGCCAGCAAGTTTGGAAAACTCAGAATTGGCCAGAGAATTGGGAAAGATCTGTCTACATCCCAACCCCAAAGAAGGGCAGTGCCAGAGAATGCTCCAACTACCATACAATTGCACTCATTTCACGCGCTAGCAAGGTTATGCTCAAAATCGTACAAAGTAGTCTTCAGTATGTGGACTGAGAACTCCCAGAAGTACAAGCTGGATTTCAAAGGTGCAGAGGAACTAGAGACCAGATTGCTGACATGCACTGGATTATGGAGAAAGCCAGAGAGTTCCAGAAAAAACATCTGCTTCTGCATCATTGACTACGCAAAAGCCTTTGACTATGTGGAACACTGGAAACAGTGGCAAGTTCTTAAAGAAATGGGAGCGCCTGACCACCTTATCTATCTCCTGAGAAATCTATATGTGTGACAGGAAGCAACAGTTAGAACTGGATATGGTTCAAAACTGATTGGTTCAAAATTGGGAAAGGAGTACGACAAGGCTGTATATTGTCCGCCTGCTTATTTAACTTTTATGCAGAATACATCATGTGAAATGCAGGATTGGATGAATCCCAAGCCAGAATTAAGATTGCTGGAAGAAATATCAACAGTCTCAGATATGCAGATAATACCACTTTGATGGCGGAAGGTGAGGAGGAACTAAAGAACCTCATTAAAGAATGAGGTGAAAGAGGAGAGCACAAAAAATGGTCTGAAGCTCAACATTAAAAAAACTAAGATCATGGTCACTTGTCCTATCACCTCCTGGCAAATACATAGAAGGGGAAAATATAGAGGCTGTAACAGATTTTACTTTCTTGGGTTCCATGGTCACTGCAGATGATGACTGCAGCCACAAAATTAAAAGATACCTGCTTCTTGGGAGGAAAGCGATGACAAACCTAGATGGCATCTTAAAAAGCAAAGACTTAACCTTGCCGACAAAGGTCTGAGTAGTCAAAGTGATGGTTTTTCCAGTAGCGATGTATGGAAGTGAGAGCTGACCACCGAAGAATTGATGCTTTTGAACTGTGGTGCTGGAGGAGACTCTTGAGAGTCCCCTGGACTGCAAGGAGAACAAACCTATCCATTTTGAAGGAAATCAACCCTGAGTGCTCACTGGAAGGACAGATCCTGAAGCTGAGGCTCCAATACTTTAGCCATCTCTTGAGAAGAGAAGACTCCCTGGGAAAGATGCTGATGTTGGGAAAGTGTGAGGGCAAGAGGAGAAGGGAACAACAGAGGACAAGATGGCTGGACAGTGTCACCGAAGCTACCAAAATAAATTTGACCAAACTCCGGGAGGCAGTGGAAGACAGGAGGGCCTGGTGTGTGCTGGTCCATGGGGTCACAAAGAGTCGGATACGACTTACCGACTAAACAACAACAACATATGACTTCATTTAAATCAGTAGTGAGCAGACTTCAATCTTCGGGGATTGACTTTTGTTTTCTTAATCTAAGATCTATCAGCTTGAGCCTAGTGCAAAATAATGTATTTAGAACTAGTGCTGAGTAATTGTGAATGTAGAAAGTTATTTGGACTTCCTGACCTAACTGTACCTTCACACAAAAATCCACTTTTATCTGCTCTTTGTCTTCTTCATTTCAGCAGTAGAATACTATTTAGGGGTAAAATGGGGAGACTTTTTATTGTTCCTGTTGTTCAATAACTGGCAGCCAGCAGTCCTTGTTGAACTACTATAAGCAAATGTAGAGCTCACTTCTGTGCATCCTAATTGTTTTGTTTCTTTGCAGAGATACAGCAGAAAAAGCCAAGAGAAGTCTTGCCACTAAATAGGTATAACTTTGCAATGCACATGACAGAAAGTTTCAGATGATGCCCATATATACATAAACGGCAATCAGTTGCTAAACATGCTTTGTTTGGAAAATCTCTGAATTTCAAAACAAGACATTTGGTTTAAAAGATTGGTATAAACTGGTCTCTGTTCCTGGTAATTTAAAATAACTTAGCCTGCTCTCTCAAGGCTTGATAGCCTTGTTTATTTTATTTAAACAGTAAATTCCCATGACGATATACTATTTTTTTTAAAAGGAAAATTCCCCATGGGATCATGGAACTAATGGCCCTTTTTTTAGTTTTGGGCCAGTGATTGAAATGAATTTTCAGAAATTCTGTACTTACCCAGGAGGATTCACGAGGAGACTGCAGTTAAAATAAGTACTCCACAATTGTGCAGGCATCACCTAGGTCCTAGGAGGCTGAGGAACAGAAAAAATGTCATTATGAAACAAAACATAGTTTCTTATGTTTCATTAATGAACTCTATAGAATCCCTTATGACTGGCTGGAGATTGTAGATTGCAAAGAACATAGCAGTCTATCACATGGTAAAGGTTACTTCAAAATTTGAATTAGGACTCCCATGGCAATGCCTACCATTGGGCAGACAGAGGCAGTTGCCTCAAGAAGTAGATTGTGGATATCCAGAAACAACAGCAATAGTTATCCACTTTATTTTTTTAAAAAGTACTATGAGAAATGAGACTTCCTGCCTAATGTAATGAAATAATTTGAGTATCTTGGGTACTGTGCATTTTAACTTGGATAATAGTAGCAGCACTTGCTACTAGGACGATAGTAGCACCAGGTGGTCTTCAGCCAACCATTTCTGCACTATCTTCCAGGGTGGGCTTGTACATTCCTAGAATACATTTAATATTACACAAATAAGAGACATTCTCCTTATCTTTACTTTCTTATGATCTGTAAGTAAGGAAAGCATTGTATCTGTTATGTCACCTATGCACAAGTTTCATACTAACAAATATCACTAAGTAATGGAATCAAGTTACAAGACAATTTTTAATTTAACATTAGGAAGAACTTCCTGACAGCAGGAGTTGTTTCGACAGTGAAATGAACTACCTCAGAAGAAATTGGACTCTTCCTCATTGAAGGTTTTAAAATAAAAGTTAGATGACCATCTGTCAGGGATAGATTTTCTGCATTAGCAGAGTTGAACTCGATTACTCTTGAGGTCCTTTTGTGCTCTACAATTTTGTGAGGTTTCCTGAAAATTGTGGCAGCAAATTGCCTGATATCTCACTTTGTTTGCTAATTTTCAGTTTGACACCAGCTAAAACTCCAGTTGTGTTCTTTGAGTGCCTAAAAAAGTTTATTGTACAGATGATTGACAGGAATGCAGTGTAATATAGCAAAAGGAAATATCCAAGTGCCTTCACAAGCTGAGGCAGCTGAAAACCACAAGAGGCCCGTTGAGTTCACCTGGGCATGGTCCCTGTTGAGGCCTACCGTATCACCACACAGATAATTACCCAATACACATAGCGAAGGAACTACAACAACTTGGGCAATCCAAAGGGTTTTTATATCCTAGTCACCCTAAACACGTAGGGAGACTGGAAGACAATACTCCTTCCTCAGGAAATTGTTAACTGTTGAGAAGCAGGAATTCTTTCTCCGACCAGTCAATATGTTATTGCCTCTGTAAGACAAGCTACTCTCAGAACGGGTTTGTAAGTATAGAATGCTTGTGACTCTTAGCTAGTGACATGATGTTCATGGAACAGTGTAAAAAAAGATATCCAGTCTAATACATTTAGAATGTTTAAAATAACAGAGATCTGACTTAGCATTTTTATATACATTTTGCAAATAGAACTTTTAAAAGTTGTGTTAAGTGTACATGTTGTATAAATATTTTTCTGATATCAAAAGTTGCTGAACTAAAATGTTTCATTAGAGGATTTTTAAAAGGTGTGTTTATTGTGCAAACCTATGCATATCTACTCACCTACTATTGCGTTCCATGGCCCTTATGCCCAGGTTATATGATTGTTGCTTAGTGTATTTTAAATGTTATATTCAAACTAATTCAACACTTTATTTTGAAATTATTTTTTACTGGAAAGGTTTCCTTGTCAAATATTTCAGGACACACCAATTCAGGCTCACCCCTCTTTGCTAGCTACATTTCAGTAACTAAATTCAGGATTGTAGTCTTTGAAACAGGTACTTACCTTATATTATACAAACTTGAATGGAAAAAAAGGTAATGCACTGAAGGCAAAATTATTAACATGCTAAAAAATAGCATATCTGAAAAAGGAAGGGATCATTGGGAAGCCACCCCGCTCTAGATAAGAATTTGCATCATTCAGCAGTGTGTAAATTATGTGAGCTCTTCCCTATGTATAATATTTTGAGATAATTGGAAGCACTGATTAGATCAGAGAGTGAAGAAGTCTGCTTGTGTGAAACCAGGTGCATATGCCTCATTATTCTGGATCCAAACCAGACCCAGTGGCCATTATTTGGAATAAATAAAAATATATAGCCATCCCCAAAAGTATCATGTTTTAATTAGAAGCCAGCAGGAAGTGATTATCACCTGTATCCAAGACATAAATATGGTGTTTCATCTTTCTAACTTGCTTGGAAAACTGTAAGAATTAATAGATATACTTTTTTTCCTGCAAGAAATATCAAACGAACAGGCATTGACATAGTCTATGTGATAACAATTGTCACTTGAAACTACAACAGTTAGTTTTTAAGATGTCACAATGTAGTTTGCTTGTTCTACCTGATATAGTATTTAAAAGTATGATTCTGAATACACCTGCAAGATGGCAAGGAAGATATGATCCACTGTGTTTAAAAAACAAAACTTTAAATGTTACATTTTAATTTTAGACCTTTTCTCTATAGTAAGCCTTTATTAAAGATACTAAGTATCTCTATGGTTTGATAAGTAGAATACCTAGATAGAAAGCCCAAGTGACTATTTTCAATTTAAGCAAATGTAGTAGAAAAGCAGAATGTCTTAACATAGATGTGTTTGTCTGCATCTACATTTTCCATGTTTCACAGATACATTCACAGCTTAATCCTATATATTTCTAATCTTACGTAAATCTCAATGGTTGAAATCCAGTAGTAAGATGGAACTAAAGCAGGTCCATTGAATCAGTGGAAATGGTGAGTCATCTTCTCTATGTCATTGGTTCAATTGGCCTACTCTAGCTGCAGGTTACTACTGGATTTCAGCCATTGTTTTCAGCGAGGCTTACTCCCAGGTAAATTTTTATAAGAATGCTGACTTAAGTACTGAAAACAATCTTCTCCAACTCGTACACAATGAACTATGTCATTAATCTAGACTCCAACTCAGTACTGAAGAAGGTCACTTCAGTTTTTGAGGATGTTGGCTTTGTGAAACTCTTCCACCAGAACAGGGAATACAGTATCACCTTGCAGATTAGTCTGAAAACCACCAATCGTTTCTCATGAAGTTGTCCTTATTATTAAAAATCAAAATGAAGAAAAATACAGACAACAAAACTCAACACTCTACCGAATGTATAATATATAATTAGCAATGCCAAGTATAACCTGAGTAAAAATGTGGTTTAAAAAACTCAGCATCAGAGTTAATTAACTGCATGCTATCCATTCTCCAGGAGTAACTTGTTTAAAATAACCATGACAGAAACAGTGCTATCTATGATTCACCTTCAGTCAGGTACACCAGCTTCATGTCCCCAAATCCTTCTGCAAGTCAAGAGGGACAGTCAAGTGTTTTCTGTCCCGAAATGTGAACGTGAAGAGAGAGCAAAAAAAAACCAGGAAGACTGATTCTACAGAGAGGATTTAAAAGGGGTCAAATTCAAGACTGTCCCTAGTACTGAGGGAGAGAATTGAGTAAAAGAGGCGCTGTTCTCCGCCTATTTGAAGAAAAAGCAGCAACAGCAGCGCTAAAGTCTAAATATTCCTGCTCGCCTCAACTCCCCAATTACTGAAGAGAAGGTCCGCCACGGCGGCGGCGGTGGGCGCGCCTACCGTCCCCTCCCCTTGAGCTAAGCAGCGGCTGCCCGCGTGAACCTGAGGAGGGTTTCCCTCGCTCACTTTTGAACTACCCGCCTTTCCCAACTGCTGTCGCTTTCCCCTCCTCCCCCTCGACGCTGCCTCCTAGGAGAGGAGACTCGCTGAGGGAGCGGAAGGCTCTTCCATGGGGCTTGAGCTTATAGACGGGAGCAGAGTGAGGAACTATGTATTTGAGCTCCCGTCTGAAGGGAGTTCGCCCAAATGCATGGCAAATGCGTGTTTGTTAACCCAAAGCTGAACGAAGACTATCCTTGTCATTCCCCACACACACGTGTACCCTGTCTTTGTTCCGTGTTACCCCAATGCTACGTTTATATTTCTGGCTTCGTAGTTGTTTGCCCGCTTCCCTTCTAGAACTAGACTTCTTTTTATTCCTCTGTTCGTTTGCACCATAGTGAAGTAAGTTCATACTGTAAGCCTTATTACCGAATGTGGAAAAACTCTCCCCTCCTCTCACCCAGAGTCACCATCAATATTAGGTTTGACTTCCTGCTTCACTTCACTGGACACTGAGATAACATGACCCACCTTTCATACAGTACAGTAATCTGTAAGAGACAGAATACTGCCAGGGTCAGGAATCTGCCCCATTGGAAATTATAGCAATGTCTGTGAAATGAACTTCTAGAGACAACTTTAGACCAATTACCACAACTAGTAATATGCTTACTACTCTGCGATAGGTTGCTTAAGAACTAGTGCAGGTCTGCTAATGTATGTGCAGTAGAAGTAAGTCCTACTGTACTAAGTGGGCCTTTCTCTTGGGTAACTCATAGAATCATAGAATAGAGTTGGAAGGGGTCTATAAGGCCATCAAGTCCAACCCCCTGCTTAATGCAGGAATCCAAATCAAAGCAGATCTGACAGATGGTTGTCCAATTTTCTCTTGAATACCTGCAGCATTGGAGCACTCACCACCTCCTAAGGGAATTGGTCCCATTGTCTTACTGCTCTAAAATGAAGAAGCTTTTCCTGATATTCAGACTAAATCTGGCTTCCTGTAGCTTGACTATTATATGTCCTGAACACTGGAATGATCAAGAACAGATCCTACTCCTCCTCTGTATGACTACCTTTAAAGTACTGTATTTGAAAAGTTCTATAATATCTCCTTGCAGTCTTCTTTTTTCAAGGCTAAAGAATGTGGGATCCTTTTTTTTCAACTGTGATGTCGAGAACTGGAAACGTATACAGCAATACAGTCTTCAAAGCAAATATGTTTTGTTATTGTTATATTTTTATGGTGTGTTCTGCTTTTCCACAGATGTGTCCATAGAATGCAAATTCTATACAGTACACAGTCTTAATCATAGAATGACTTATCCAGAAACTACGGTATATTTAAAGCTGAGTTATTAATATGACTTATACCATTAATTAAAATGAGTCTAAACATAACCATTTAAATGACTGAACATGATCCAATGCCATTTGAGTGGACAGTCAGCAATCTCCCTCATAAGCCTATATTTGTTGGGTATATATAGCAGACTTTTAACTGATTAGTTGTAGTACTCAGCAATGAGGGAACACACTCTGCAAATGCTCAGATACACTCTCCATGCTGACTAGATCAAAAGAATAATGGTAGAAAACTACAGCAGGGAACTGGAGACCTAATATATATTTTGGGTTTGAGTGTCAAGACACAAGAAATTTGTTGCATTTCAGTGTATATGTAAGAAAATACAGTATGTGGAATTTTTCGCAGTTAGGCATATTAGTATCTTTAATTTCTCTTATTTTATTGCTTAATAAAAACAAAGTATTGTGGCACCTTCAAAACTAACAGATTTATTTCAGTATGAGATATCATGGACTATGATTCATTTCTTCAGAAATTAACTAAACACTGAGTTCTCTGTTAATGAAAAAGTTTTAGTCCTTAAAAGCTTGCAGTGAAAAAAAAATGTTGTTAGTCTTAATAGTTCCAGACATGAGTTTGTTTTGTTTATACACATGTGTAGACTGAAACTTTAGAGATATATCTTGCTAGGGTAAAATCTACTACTGTATTTAAGGGGTATTATGGATTACAAAGTAGATGTGTTCAGCTAGGATTTAGTGTTAGCCATTCATGTAGCCATTTTTGAGAAACAATTAGCTCCATGAATGAAATTATAGGTCTGCTACTGGCAATTAATCATAATAGTTTAAAATTGCTACATTGTTTAGAGCTAGTAAACTTTAGTCTTCTAGATTCTGATTGAGTAAGTTCTTGCAGTAGCAGCTGGTATCCTTTATTTTGACTGAACAGTCAGTGGCGGTCAGAGCCAGAGGAAAAATTAGCTGAGCATACAGAGATAAGAGTTCAGTAGTAATGAAACAGAGACAGGACTCTGAACGGTAAGTGAAATGCTTACCGGTCTTCGCAAAGCGAATTTTTCCCCATTTAAAAAACGTTAAGCGATCGCATTAGCGATCCGAAAAAACGGATCGCTATGCGATTTCATCGTTATACGGTGCGCTCGTTAAGCGAGGCACCACTGTATTTAAGGGGTATTATGGATTAGAAAGTAGATGTGTTCAGCTAGGATTTAGTGTTAGCCATTCATGTAGCCATTTTTGAGAAACAATTAGCTCCATGAATGAAATTATAGGTCTGCTACTGGCAATTAATCATAATAGTTTAAAATTGCTACATTGTTTAGAGCTAGTAAACTTTAGTCTTCTAGATTCTGATTGAGTAAGTTCTTGCAGTAGCAGCTGGTATCCTTTATTTTGACTGAACAGTCAGTGGTGGTCAGAGCCAGGGGAAAAATTAGCTGAGCATACAGAGATAAGAGTTCAGTACTAATGAAACAGAGACAGGACTCTGAACCTCCACCTGCAGTAAGGAGGCAGGCAGGATTGGAGTGGTAGCTTAAGATGGAGCAACAGCCTACATGACTAGTCTTTTGTATTCTACAAAAGCTTAAAAACAATAAGACATTAAGATGCAATGAGATTTATAACAGAACCCTAACCTTCTGCTATGATTGTTTCTTTATACCATGTTTGAGTTTTTCTATGAGGCTTTGGGAACAGTTCTAAAATACCAGAACAATTCTGACTTTCTTAACCTGCAGATGGAGCTCAGCTCAAAAAGGAACTCAATTCAGACCTCCTGCTAAACTTATACAGAACTGATACTTTTTGCAGCTAGATTATAAGAACCAGCATTTTTGCTCTAAATCAAGGCTAGGCTTGTTTATTTTGGATTTATTTCAGAATCTTATATTAACCACAGGAGTAGAAACTGTAACTTAATTTTTTTAAATATATAATAGTATAGTGGAAGATGGAGCTTCAAGTACACATAGGCCAATATCCTGTTGGTTAGTATAGTAAATCACACTCAAGTGGGCCAACTGAATCACTTGGGATTTAGAGAATCAGTTCTCCCTGGGTTCCAATGATTCAAACAGGCTTTCTCTAATTGGAACTTTACTGTGTTATAGTAAATTGAAGTTAGAGTAGGTCTATTTTAAATCAACGGAACCTATAGAAGAATTGACTCACCAAATCCCCATTGATAAAATCAACGGAACCTATAGAATTGACTCACCAAATCCCCATTGATTCATCAAGTCTACTCTATGCAATTTACTATGTTAAGCAACAGGATTTCGGCCATAAGTGTTTTCCTCTTGCCATTGAAGAACTATAGTCAGAAACCTGAGATTATGAAACAAGAATGAGCATCCAGAGAAGCATGAAACGGCATATAAAAATATACATGCTCCCATATTAATATTTAAGTTGTTCAATATGGTGGGAGAAGCATATATACATTACGTACATTAATACAGACATAATATTCAAGTCATTGCTCTTTATTGTCACTATATGTACCTAACATGTCACAAATGTAGTTTTCTTCCTGAAAGTGGATGTATTTGCACTACTATTTCATGTTAACTTGAAAAAGCATGTGCTGATATTAACTAAAAAAAGTATATGCTGACATAGAACCATACATATAAACAGAAGTAAACCCAGCTGAGTTAATAGAGGCTTACTTACAAGTCAGTTTAAGAAATTCCATAAAATATTTGCCAGCTTAAGACCAACATTAAAGCCATCTCTTGTGGGCTGGAATTCAACAAAAAATCTGGACGCTAAGGCAGGTGCTGTAGTGTAACAGATATATCACATGATCAAGAATGATGTGCAATATCATCTGAAGTGCAAGCTGTGTTTCTGACCAACAAAGATGCCAGCCCTGGTCCTGTATTTTCTTATGAAACAGCTGAGCCTTGGGATATTGCTGGAGAAATCCTCTAGACTGAAAGTTGAAGATGCTCTTGTACCCATGTTCTGCTTGTGGCCTTCCTATAAATACTGGTTGCCCAGTGTGGAAAGTTGGGAACAGAATGTTTGATTAAATGAGGACTCTGGTCCTCAACTAACTCTTCATACATTTTTATGTTATCCACAAGTAAGCAGCATTGAGTCCTGTCAAGTTTATTCTCAAAGAGGTATGAACAGGTTTGCACCCTGTGTTTGAATTAGGCTGTAAATTTTAACAGTTCTTTGCATTTGCTTTGATAGATTAAATTATTTCTGATGCTTTGTATAAGAATTATGTGTGGTGTTTGGTTTTACACTGGATATTACTTTTGCTTTACTGTTTCTGACAAAGAATATGGTTTAAAATTGTGATTGAATAAAATAAGTACCTTCATTCCTCCTACGTAGGCAGCAGCCCTAATTTTGAATACTGGCAATATTCATTATTTTGACAGGCAAAACAGAGTTTGGGAACTCCCCCCCCACCCCAGGTATCTGTATTAGTCTCTTCCAGCATATATATCAAAATACATGCTGGAAAACAGTATCGTGAAGCTGAATAAGCAAACCACTTTAGGATATCAGCAAATTGAATATTTCATCTGCATGTGCAGGGGAAGTAAATGCTTTTTTATTATCATTATTTTTAGACTGCAGCACACCATTGCTGATGAACTGCATCACTTATTTAAAAATGTTTTTCTTTACCTTGTCTGAAGGCCAGTAGAAAAACTGCCTGTAACAGGGAAAAAGGCAAAAACATGTAGCGCCATAAAAACTATTATTTTTTAATGTGAGCTTTTGTGTACAACTGCCAAGTACTAGTGATACGGCTTCTTCGCTGACCCGTGGCATCACTGGTCTCTAGAATCAAACGAGTTTCGAATCTATTCTCTCTCTCCTTCCTTGGTGCTGCAAAACAGAAAATAAAGATTACTCGGTTGAAAAAAAAAAGGCAAGAAAACACTACATGAATTATCTACGCCTCCTTTCAACGAAGCGGAACAGAATACTGTAGTCGGATCAACTTTCACAATAGAAGTTCAAATTTCCCTGCAGAAGCAATGGGACAGAGTTCGATAGCCACGTGCCTCAGTTTAGCCGGCCTCTATAAACGTCATAAATCGGCGCTGCAAAGCCTTCTAAGGCCGAAATCGGGAGCTACGCGCCTGCGTAAGAGGTACGCCTCTATAGGGCTTTGCCGAAATTGGGAGGTACAATTCTTAGGCCTTAGAGCGCCTGCGTGAAAGGTACGCCTCTATAGGCGTTTAAGTGCGAAATTGGGAATAACGCCTAGGCACTATAAAGCCTGCGTGAGAGGTAAGGCCGAAATCGGGAGCTACGCGCCTGCGTGAGAGGTACACCTCTGTAGGCTTTTAAGGCCGAAATTGGGAATTACGCCTAGGCGCTATAAAGCCTGCTTTGAAGGTATGCCTCTATAGGCTTGTAAGGGCAAAATTAAGAATTATGTCTAGGCGCTAGAAGTCCTGCTTTAAAGGTATGCCTCTATAGGCTTGTAAGGGGGAAATCAGGAATTATGCCTAGGCGCTATAAAGCCGGCTTTAAAGGTACGCCTCTATAGGCTTGTAAGGGGGAAATCAGGAATTATGCCTAGGCGCTATAAAGCCGGCTTTAAAGGTACGCCTCTATAGGCTTGTAAGGGGGAAATCAGGAATTATGCCTAGGCGCTATAAAGCCGGCTTTAAAGGTACGCCTCTATAGGCTTGTAAGGGGGAAATCAGGAATTATGCCTAGGCGCTATAAAGCCTGTGTGAGAGGTACACCTCTATAAGTTTTTAGGCCAAAATTGGGAATTATGCCTAGGCACTATAAATCCTGTGTGGGAGGTACACCTCTATAGGCTTCTAAGGGCAAAATTAGGAATTATGCCTAGGCACTATAAAGCCTGCTTTAAAGGTACGCCTCTATAGGCTTTTAAGGCCAAAATTGGGAATTACTCCTAGGCGCTATAAATCCTGCGTGAGAGGTACACCTCTATAGGCTTGTAAGGGCAAAATTAGGAATTACGCCTAGGCGCTATAAAGCCTGTGTAGGAGGTACACCTCTATGGGCTTTTAAGGGCAAAATTAGGAATTATGCCTAGGCACTATAAAGCCTGCTTTAAAGGTACGCCTCTATAGGCTTTTAAGGGCGAAATTAGGAATTATGCCTAGGCGCTATAAAGCCTGTGTAGGAGGTACGCCTCTATGGGCTTTTAAGGGCGAAATTGGGAATTACGCCTGATTAATACTGTATCGCTGAAATTGGGACGTACACCTGAGTAATAGAATTCAATATACTCTCCCTAATTTATATTTTGTGAAGGAATTTCCCTTGAAAAGGCGTAAGCCTCCCTCAGAATCTCAGCCTCACTTTTTCTTCTCTGCGCTCCGAGCAAAGTTTCAAAAATAATCTGCAGGTGATGAGCCGCGAGCTGGTGTGAAATAGAGGTTGATAATTTGTATGACCTATTTTACTCAGCTCCTGTGCTCTTTGTCTTTGGGACCTTCTTGAGTTTGGGTTTAAAATCAGTTAAGTTATAGTCTCCCCTGGGATACGTAAAAATCAGGAAAGAATCTTTTGCAGTTTCTGTAATATATTCTCCTTTTATTCTACAATAAGAATAAAGTAGATCTGTGCAGGACAGAACTGCACTTGCATAATGAGTGGAAATGTTTCGTTCCTTTTTCAGACAGACTTATGGACACCCAGAAGGATGCACCTCCTCCAAAGCAGCAACCTATGATATATATCTGTGGAGGTAAGTACTGTCCATGCCTTATGGCTAGTAGAAATTGTAAGTTAGATTCATCAGGGTGATCTTCCTGGAGTGTAGAGTATTTCTAAAATGAGTAGTTTATGAGTCTTTGTGAGATGTAGGGAGGCAAGTGAAGATGACACCATGTGGCTTCTCCCACTGGGCTTTCACCTTCCTGCCTCAGGGCCCGCCCCAGGGCCATTATCCATCAGAAAAGAATAAAGACATGAAGATAACATAAGGTGTGTTTTCTGCATCTGTATTGCCCTTTTTTCTCAGCCTCCACAGACCATTTACCACAACCTCACGTGGGAGGAATCATCAGGTACCGTCTTCTATTCAAGGGTTCTAACTGGTTTTCAGTGTTTGTTTCTGAGGGCATCACTGTATTTTTTAGATATTCTAAGGTGCTTTGAGGATAGCCAAACAGTAGTACATAAATCCCTTAAATAAATAATACTGCACTCTGATGCAGTTCAAAGAGCTATGATTCGGACTAACTAAAACTTAAAGAATTCTAGAAAATCTTAGTTTCCAAAATATAAGAGGATAGATTTTTACTTGATTGATTTTTCTAAAATGATAGCATGTTTCCCCGAAAATAAGACAAGGTCTTATATTACTTTTTGCTCCAAAAACCCAGTAGGACTTATTTTCAGGGGATGTTTTTTCCCCATGTACAACAATCTACATTTATTCAGCTACAGTCATGTTATCTTCTGGTTGCTGCACAATGGTAGAGGGTGGGGTTTCACTTAACTAGGGTTTATTTTGGGAGTAGGGTTTATATTACAAGCATCCTGAAAAATCATACTAGGGCTTATTTTCGGGGAAACAGGGTAGAACAATCAGCCAAACTCAATTCTTGCCAATAAAAATTACATTGTTCCTGGTGATTCCACATTACGGCATTAAATCTAATTTTTTTAAATTGTAGCTTTGTTCTCGCTTTTGTTTGCTTCCTACATGCATCTAAAAATATATTACTGTATTTTCAGAATGTCACACGGAAAATGAAATTCAAGCACGAGATCCTATAAGATGCAGAGAATGTGGGTGCAGAATAATGTACAAGAAAAGAACAAAAAGATGTATCCTTCTATTTAGGTGGCGTCTTTCCTTGATTTTCAAATGTTGGTTCTAACTGTCTGTATTTTTAATATTTGTTTAGGTTGTAGTCTTGTACATAACTATCTGGGAATAAGTTCTGTTGAATTCAGTGGGACTTAGAAAGTAAATTTCTTATTTGATTTTTTAAAGATACTGTATTGTTTAAAGCATGATCTCTGTGATAGAGCTGTGAGTCTTTGGTGCACTCCATACATTATCTTTGTACACAGAAACTTTGGCTGGGAAAGGTATTATCACTCTAACATAAATTTACAGATTGAGCTGTAAATTATAGGTAAGCATCAGGCTGTAAACTGTAATGCATGAATCAGTTTTAAAGTTAGCATTAAAAGGAGTTCAAGCACACTATACTACATTTCTATATATTACGTGAGGTCTAAATTTTAAGCATGTTTACTACTTCTGGAAATCAGTGGGACCTACAGTATGATGCTGTATTTGCAGTCTGAGATTCTATTAAATGTGATAGGAAACCCCATTAAAATCAGTGGGACTTGTTTCTAAGTAGAAGTATAGATGTTTGTGGTATAAATGCATGTACTTGGAAGAAAATACCATTACATTTAATGAAGTTTTTTTTGTTTGTTTGTGCATGTGGAAGGCAAATGTGTAATATTCAATTAAAAAGTCAGGGGCACCCACTGGCTTGGCACAGCACTCATGAATCCCTGTGAGATCTTGTTAATTGCCAGCCAGCAGCAAGTGAATATTACTGTATATTGACCCCAGAAATACACACCAGTAAAAAAGCAACAAGATTTAGCCATTGTAAAGACAAAGGAGACATCATGACTACAGGGAAGATGTGAATTCTTACACTTCAGATGATAGGAGAAATCTCTGAGAACATAAAGTGTGAACCATTTCTGCTTCATCCTTTGCCCTGAGTGTCTGAAATGTGTTTTAAATTAATGTTTATGAAAACTCGCATATCTAAGACAAATTCTGCTTCCTGTATACTTAAAGTTTAAAGGAAAGAGCAGCAGGTTGGTCCTTACTTAATGAAATAATCATAGGGCTCAGTAAATCCTGTTATTTGCTTCTGATTTCTTGGCTGTACATCTGTATGTATAGCATAGCTGTCATTCATTCTTTATACAATATAAATAATGACTGGTGTGAGTGCGATAAATGACTAGGTGAAGAGAGTAGAGGGCTCCAAGTCAATCCCTATGAGTCTGTTTCTTCATGCAGAATTATACCTATAATAATAATTGTGTTGTGCCAAGTCATTTCAGACATGGCAACCCTTTCCACAATTTTCTAAGTAGAGAATACACTTAAATGGATTACCATTCCCTTTTTCTGGGGGTATCTTGGGACTGTGCATATTGACCATGACTACACAGCCTGGCTCTTTTCACCGAACATATAGCAGGAAATCAAAGTTCCAACTTCTGGCTCCACAGCTAGATACCTAAACCATTTAGCTATCCAAGCAGCTAAACTATACCTACTGTATGCATAATTGTGTCCAAATGTATGTACAGTTCTTGATTATAAAAACCAATTTCTTTCACACTTGTTTTTCTTTAACTCATACTATAGTGGTTGTATTTGATGCCCGATGAAGAGAAGAAACCTTTATTTTAATTCAGTGGATTTTCAATTCTGCATATGTGACACAAGTTTCTTTGTTATGTACAAATATATTTTTTCATTCTGATAGTGTTAAGTTATTTAGTTGTCACAATAAATTTATTAATGTATTTTGTTGACATTTTTGTACTAGTGAATCTTTAGAAAATAGATTTTAAAAATGGTTGTAATAGTATTCATTTCATTCAAACAGACCACTTATATTAAGGCTAAACATTCTCAATTTTAGATTCTCTCATAGTTTTTTGATGGGTGGGAAAGAGTCAAAATCTGAGTGGTACAACCAATAATTCAGGTTACTCAGGCATTTTGAATCTTTTACTCTACCCATGATGTCTTCATTCCCCAATTATCATTATCTGAGAACAACAGCAAAAGCAAAACCCTAACTACCCAAATGCTTTCAGCAGAGGGAACCTTGCCAATAGTGTATCAGACTTTGACTAGGGACATTAAACAGAAAAAATCAGTTTTAACCATGAAACTTGCTAATGGACATCAGATGCACTCATTGCAGCTCATCCTAAAAGGATAAGGGAAGGTGGCAGGAGAAACACTGCCTAAAACGTATTGGAAGAATGGCAAATACAAATGTAACAAGAAAGGAAATGTTTTTTAAACTGGAAACTTTCTCCATGGACATAAACATGTTTTATGATGTGTGGATGGTGCTTTATTTGTACTAGTGTATTTGTAGGCATATGTCAGTCTTGAGGGACTATGGTAATATGCTCTGAATAGAGGACTTGGAACAGTGTCTAGTGTGGCTAAGAAGGCCAATATGAGAGTGGCAATCTCTTCCACACTGAAGACAAACACAATCTGTCCCCCATCCAGCTCCCTGATTTTGCTGGGTTTGGGACTGCCTCTTTGCCTTGACCTGCTGAAGAAGAGTCTCTTCAAATTGGGAGAGGCCATGCTGCACCGCCTGCCTCCAGGCTGAATGTTCATATGTCAATATTTCCGATCTGTTGAGGTCCATTCCTAAGGCCTTCACATCCTGCTTTCAGATATCTTTGTATCGCAGCTATGGCCTCCCTCTGGGGCACTTTCCCTGCACTAATTCTCCATACAGGAGATCTTTTGGAATCCAACTATCAGCCATTCTCGCGACATACCCAAGCCAACGTAGTTGTTGCGGTTTCAGTAATGTATATAATGGTGCCTCGCATAACGAGCACCCCGTTTAACGACGAATCCGCATAGCGATGCGGATTTAGCGATCGCAAAAGCGATCGCATTGTGATGTATTGAATGGGCGAAAATCGCATTGCGATGATCGGTAAGCGTTTCGCTTACCGATCTTCGCATTGCGATGTTTCCACAACAGCTGATCGGTGGTTCCAAAATGGCCGCCGGGTGAAGAAAATGGCCGCCTGCAGCGTTTTCACACGGTTTCCTGGCTTACCGAGACAGCAAAAATGGCGACTATATGGAGGATCTTCGGATAACGGTGAGATCCCCCCCATAGGAACAGGGTTTAATGCGTTCCTGTGGGGTTTTTTGCCCCGTATGGCGATGATTCCGGATAGCGACTGTAACAGGCGACGATTTATCCGGAATGGATTATCGCCGCTATGCGGGGCACCACTGTACATGATAAAAATTCCAGCTCATTCTAGGACTACTTTATTTGGAATTTTGTTCTACCAGGTGATACCAAAAATGTGTTGGAGACAACGCATATGGAACATGTTCAACTTCCCCTCCTGCCGTGCACAAAGGGCCCAGGACTCACTGCAGTAACAGGAGTGTACTCAGGACACAGGCTCTATAGACCTGGATCTTGGTATATGGCGTCAGCTTTTTATTAAGCCATACTCTCTTTGTGAGTCTAGAGAACATGGTAGCTGCTTTACCAATGTGTTTATCCAGCTCAACATCTAGAGACAGGATGTCAGAGATTGTTGAGCCAAGGTACACAAAATCATGAACAACCTCCAATTCTTGTGTAGAGATGGTAACAGAGAGAGATGAGTCCACACCCTGGCCCATGACTTGTGTTTTCTTCAGGCTGATTGTTAGTCCAAAATCTTGGCAGGCCTTACTAAAACGATTCATAAGTTGTTGGAGGTCTTCAGCAGAATGGGCAACAACAGCTGCATCATTGGCGAAGAGGAAGTCCCGCCTGCATTTCAGCTGGACTTTGGTCTTCACTCTCAATCTAGAAAGATTAAAGAGCTTTCCATCTGATCTAGACTGGAGATAGACACCTTCTGTTGCAGTTCCAAAAGTGTGCTTCAGCATGACAGCAACAAAGATCCCAAAAAGGGGTTGGCACGAGAACACAGCCCTGTTTCACTCTGCTTCGGATGTTAAAGGGTTCTGATGTTGAGCTATCAAAAACTACAGTTCCCTTTATTGGCACTGTGTATTTGCATACACAATAAAATATTGAAGTTGTTTGGTCTTCCTTTACAGTGTTTGTTGTAGATTGTTTCACCAGAGTCCTACAACCCTGAAAAAGAATTACAAGAGCCCAACTCTCCATTCTTTTTAAATTTTATTCCCCAACACCTGCCAGATTCTGTTTAAAAATATTTTGAGATAAGCAATGTGCCACATAGCTCCTCAAGGAGCTGTGATCTAGGCAGTCGAAGAATTTGCTCCCACATGTATTCCCTCCCGCCACTGGAGAATACCCAAGTAAAAATAAACAGAACAGATTTTGCCTCTATTTGCCATCCCTAAATTGCATCGATTTCCAGCAATTAGAAGGCAGAAGGAAATACTGTATGTCTTTTTAATGCTTTTTGTGGATCAACAGTGTATCCCCTATTTTCATAGTTAATTGGTTGTATTCCGAGGAATCATTTTAAAGAAACAAACTGTTAAATCGATTTTGGGAAGAGAACTGGCTCATTCGTTTAGGTTTAAAGGGCAGGAAAAGAGTTCCCGTCTAGTCTGCATCTTTCCGTCTTCAGAGCGTTGGTGGCGAACGGGTGTCGCCATAGCAACCCTCTCGCAGCAGGAGGAGGAGGAGGCCGTTTCTCCTTCGCCAACTGCCTCCTCGCTTGGGGTCGTGGCAGGGATCCCTGTCCTTCCGTCGCTCCACCCGCCCGTCTGTCTTGGGGCGTTTGAAAACGGGATTCCTCGGGGTCGAGCAGCCCCCTCCCCCCGCCATCGGCCGCTTCTCTCCTCAGCAGTGCGGAACCTTTGGCTTCGTCTTCGGTCGCGTCGCCTCAGCCGCGCTCCCAACGGTGAGGGCGGGCGGTGGTGGCGCCGCTTTTCGTGCCCCTCCTGGAGCAACGCCGTTGGGGGAAAGGGAACGGGCGAAAAGGGGGCGCCCCACGGGTGCGGTGGGGTGGAGTGGGGGCACCCATGCAGGAGTGAGGCTGGAGAAAGAAAGAGGAATGAATTGAAGGTGAGGGGGCAGTGAGGAACCGGTGCGGGGGCGCGCTTGTGTGGAAATGACCTCAAGGAGGGGGTGACGCGGGAGGGAAACGGATTCCTGAGGGAAATGGATTCCTCTGTCAGCAAGTAGGAGAAAGGCTGACCCTCGTGTATGCTGCTCGCTTTCATCCTGCTTTTCTGCAAGGAATCCGGGGCGGCGGGAGGAGTGGCGTGCTACTTTCCCTGCCTCCTTTTCCTCCACACAGTAACCTCGTGAGGTAGGACAGGTTGAGAGGTGCCGATGCTTGCCGTAAAGCCCCTCTGATTCGTGTGGAAGCTGAACCGGTATTTCCCCCGTCTGTTTTCCAGTTGACCAGTAGGTTGTGCTTATTCACCACCACCACCACCCCGCAACCTATGGACACAAAAGTGCGTCGTTTCTTCTCTAGCTTCTTGTTTCTCCACTCTGTCTGCAGGATAAAGTGATGGTGGGCCGACGCCCGTGGGGTTTCTGCAAGGAAACGGGCGGCTGTGATTTGGCTTCCCAGTGTGTTGGGAGTGGGGGACAGGACTTCGGCCGTATCCTAAACTTGGTGGGAGATTGGGCAAACTGGGGGAAATGCTGGAATGAACACTTGCAAGTGTTTATTACTTAGACTGGAGTGAACACTTGCGGGGCGGATCCCATCTCCAGAGTCTCCTGAAACCTTTAGGAACATTGTTTGCCTTTGTTGGGGACTTGGCAACAGTTGCTAATAGTGGTGGTGGTGGAACAATCCTGACTCTGTACCTTTAAAAAAAATATTTGCAGGCCAGATCCTTTCTCCAGACTCTCCTGAAATCTGCAGGAATACTGGCTTGGTTGGGAACATGACAACAGTTGCTAATGGGGGGGGGGAGCCCAACTTTAATGCTGTACTCTTAAAAAAAAAACTCTACAGAGGCCATTCTTGGGATTATTTACAAAAAATACAATTCACCTTTGCTGAAATCACGTTTCAAAGCGACAATCTTTCTAACATTTAGTCTCTTGCCTTTTACATTAAAATAAACTGAGATGAGTGTATGCACAATTCTAAAGTAATAAAAATAAATTCTAAAATCAAAGATACAAGGAATCATCATTGTAAAAGTTTCTGTTTTAGGAGGTTGATCTGTTTAGGAGGTTGATGTGATTTGCATCACCTCTTCACTCTTGTTCTCACAATAAAGCAGTTACAGCTGAAGTGTGTGAATTGTACTGACGTCTTCAAATTTCATAAATGTCACAAGTCAAATAAAATAAAAAATAATTCTATAGCTCTCTAAGTATTGTATTTAAACGAGGCTTGGCTTATTGCAAAACAGAATATAAATCCCACAGGTGCAGAAAAACACCATTCTATAAGAGTCTTAATCGTTTTCACTATAAAGTAAATCTTCATGTATGAAGACCGACAATAGTATTTTAGAAGTCCTTCCTTTTAAATGAACAAAACTAAAGCTGAAAAAGAATGAAGACTTTACACAATTATTTTCAATTTATTGCTGTTGAGATTAAAAATACACAATTTATAGGAAAATAATTTATTAGATATATACATATGCATTTATTTTTCCTGTTTCAAAACTTTCTTAAATCTATATTTTTCATTGTTACACAATGTTTAATTTATGTAATAATTATATATATTATATATATATAAACATAGCATATATAGCCAACATAAAATAAATAAGTGGTTACACTCAGTAACAACAATTTACAATTAAAAATTAATTTAGCTTTCTGATTAACTAAAGCAATAAAAAAACTGAGGGTTATGGTGTTTTCCTATGACTCGTGTGGTTCAGCTGCAGGCAGGATCTTGACCAAACCAATAAGAGAAAATAAAGGAAAAATCACTCTGCTGTCTCTTCATGCTTTGCTTTTTTTTTAAAGTGGTGCATTGCATACGTGTTGCCCTAAAGCACTTAAACCACTTCATGATATTGTCAGATTCAAAGAGGAAGGATTGTTTCTAGTGATTACACATGCTGGAGACAATCCAAATCAGAGAAATCCTACCTGCACCAAAAAAGTTGAAGTCCTGTGACAGGAGCCAGACAGGTGCAGGTGGGGCCACTCTAGGAGCAGGCTGGTTAGCGCCAGTAAATATATTGTCTGGTTGCCATCTTTAGGAGTGAACCAGCTGATCCCTGCAGTGGACCAAACAGCAGGCTAACACCCATTTAGTCAGCCTCTTGGTTTGCATGATTAGAAAGAACTTTAGGCAGGCCTTTCCTCCAGTCAATACCTAATTTATTTGCCAAATTCAATTGTATTAATGTTGTTTATTTTATTATTCTTGAGTGTTATTAGCTGCCTAGAGTAGACTTTGGTCTAGATTGGTGGGATATTAAAAAAACAAACAAACTTTAGCTTGCAGTTTGGCAACATTCAAATGGAAAAAGAGTGGTAGTAATGGTTTATTAAAGCAGTTTGTGCAATTTGGAAATATCTCTGAGTAAAACTAGAAAGATATATGATGATTACATTCTGTATTTTTAGCTATGAGTGTTGGCCAGGTTTCATCCTTGTTCAGCCAAGGAACGACAAAAACATACCAAATTCCTATTGAACATCTGGACTACACATTCATTGAAACATGTAAAGATGTTAAATATTTGGAAAAAATTCTCAGGATATTAAGGTAAGTATTGATGAAACTTTATTAACATTCGTAGCATTAGAGTGTTTTTGAATAATCCAGGATATAGTGATTTTTACATTAAATACTTTCATCTGAAAAATAAAAGGCCATCACTTATTTTGTGGTTGAGGTAAACAGGTGTAAGGTAGTAATAATTTCAGTATACAGACTTTTTACCTACCTACAACAGTACAATGGGAGATACTGTATCTTAACAACTGCTTGGATTCTAAAATGGGAAGTCTAATATCTTTAGTAAAACGTAAAGGTTCCCCTTGACAATTTTTGTCCAGTCGTGTTCAACCCTAGGGGGCGGTGCTCATCCCCGTTTCCAAGCCATAGAGCCAGTATTTTGTCCGAAGACAATCTTCCGTGGTCACATGGCCAGTGCGACTTAGACACGGAACACTGTTATCTTCCCACCGAGGTGGTCCCTATTTATCTACTTGCATTTGCATGCTTTCGAACCGCTAGGTTGGCGGGAGCTGGGACAAGCGACAGGCGCTCACTCCGTCGCGTGGATTCGATCTTACGACTGCTTGGTCTTCTGACCCTGCAGCACAGGCTTCTGCGGTTTAGCCTGCAGCGCCACCATGTCCCTAATATCTTTAGTAAACTGGTTTAAATATAATTAGTCTTCTGCACTTTTTGATGCTTTGTTCAAATAAAATGAAGGTACTGGAAGGTGATTGGGTTTAAAAAGTAAAGAATAATTAAAGTGCAATACAGTGGTGCCTTGACTTACGAACTTAATTGGTTCCAGAACTCCGGTCATAACTCGAAATGGTCATAAGCAGAAGCACCATTTCCCATAGGAATGCAATGAAATGCAATTAATCTGTTCCGGCGGAAGAAAAAAATAACAAAAAAACCATACCACAAAACAAAACAAAACACTGCCAGACCGATCAGAAATGTGATTAATCTGTTCCGGATGGAGAAAAGAAAGAAAGAAAAGCAAACAAACCTTGCAAGACCCTTCAGAAATGCAAAAATAGCAAAGAAAAAAGCAAACAGATGTTGCAAGTCCTTTCGGAAATGCAAAAAAAGCAAAGCAAAAAGCCACTGCAAGACCGTTTAGAAATGCAAAAAAGCAAAGCAAAAAGCAAACAAACACTGCAAGACCCTTCAGAAATGCCAAAAAAAAAACCAACCAGCAAAAAGCAGACACTGCAAGACCCTTCAGAAATGCAAAAAAGCAAACCAAAAAGCAAACAAACCCTACAAGACCCATCGGAAATGGGGGAAAAAATCCACAAAGGAAACAAACCCTGCAGGACCTATCGGAAATGGGGGGGGGGCAAAAAGCAAACAAACCCTGCAAGACCCATTGGAAACGTGAAAAACCCCACCAAAAAACAAAGACTGCAAGACCCATCACAGCACAGAAACAGAATCCCCAAGCCCAAAACCACGCTACAAAACCCACCCAGAGCAGTTTTTAAAAAGCAGAAAGCAGCACCTTACCTTACCAGGCAGTCTGAAGCCTCCTCCAATTGCACACTCTCTAACTGCTGGGGTGAAAGAGCTACAAAGAAGCAGCCTCTTCGCCACCAACGTTTAACAATTTGAATTTCCCACCTTTTTTCCCTGCCTTTTTTATTGAAGCTCCGGGTGCAAATTGAAGCAAAATTTTGCAGCCGGAGATGGTCGTAACTCAAAATGATGGTATGTCGAGATGCCCGTAAGGCAGTGCACCTCTGTATAAAAAAGCATAACAATTCAAAGTGTGGAAAAATCAAATAGGAATAGAGATGTTTATATGTGTATGCCCAAAGTGCTATGAAAACTCACCAAATTAATTTAATAATTAAAAAATGGGTGAGTTATTACAGCAGCACTTGGAACACACACATATGTCCGCCCCTATTTCTCTGTTTTACTCTTTCATTAAAAGAACGAAGAACAGAACCTGAACATGTTATGTTTTGATATTTAGTATTTAGACGTTAAACGTCAAGACATTGATATATCTAAGGCATTTTGTATGCTCAGCTCATATAGTAATGTGTCATCTCTTTATTTCAAGATCTGGTGAGGAGGGTTTTTATCCTGATCTTACATTATTTTGTGAAAAACACATTGAATCTTTGGCTCCAAATAGCAGAGCTCTGCGAAAAGATAAACCTGCAGCTACTGCTTCTGATTTTACAGCTGAGGAATGGGAAAAAATAAACAATGAAATGAAGGTATCACATAATTTCATTCTGTATTGTGAAAATAATTACTTAAAGCCTCATAACTTTAGGTCTCATCCTGTGCCCTGTGAATCTTCTCTTTCCACTCCTGTGCACTGTATGGGTACAGTATAAGGAATTTGTTTTTGCGCTTGCCTCACACTAAGTCATCATTTCTTTAGCAAGTAGCAGAAGTCCTGTAATCCTTGTTTCTAACTACTAATGCAAGTCTTACAAAGTATATTTCATCCTTAAAGACGAGATAATGACAAATAATATATTGGCTGAATTCCTGTTAACTTAGTGTAGTACGTTGCACATAGAGTAGGCCATTGAATCAGTGTAGATATGGATATAAATCCCATTATTCAATAGGCCTACTTTAATTGCTAATACTTGGAGATATCCAGTATGGTGTAGTGGATAGAGTGATGGACTAGGACTCAAATTCCCGTTCAGCCATAGAAACTCACTGGAGGAGTGGAACTGGTAAAAGCACACCTTAAAAATCTCACCTTGAGAGCCCTATTAGGGAGGCTATGAATTGGTTCCTACTTGACAACACATAATAACAATAATTAACAAGATTTCAGCCAGCATGTGGTTTTTGAAAAACATATTCCTTAGATCTTATTTTAATTTTTAGAGCTGTTTAAGACAGTGTATTGTTTATTATTATATTTCATATTGTCTGGACTGTTTTTGCAGATGCTCTGTTATGGAAGTCATACTATATTATCACTTCAGTCATGAATAAAAAAGTGTTGTTCCATAATTGAAATAGAAGGGATACTACATGACATTTCATTATTTCTTCTGAAGTTTTTAACAAACCATGCAACGTAGGTGCTAAGACTGCAATTTAAAGCAGAAGACCAATAGAGGAGGAATAAGTTTCTTCTACTGAAACATACTGTCACATACCTGGTACCTGTCTGTCATGGGTTTGGAGGGGGGAAAAGATATGAGAACAATATTTCTGTAGGGGCAAAAATCTAAGAAACCATTCACTCTCTGCTTTGAATTGCAGTTTTAATGGCTGTATTATGAATTGTATTAAAAACAATTTTTAAAAATCACATCTTTAAAATTAGCAAGTTTTATTAGACAGGATCTTTCATGTAAGCCAGTTCTTTAGGGACATTTTAATAATTGTTACAAAAAATAATGCATTTCGGGGATTTTAAAATGAGATAAATTTATGTTATGTGCTATTTTAGAATTGGGTTACAGAAATGAAAGAAGAAGAATATAAAATTCAGTATGCTACAACAGAAGTATTCAAGGAGAAAATGGAAAATTTGCCACCAGTGCGTAGTTCAGACTCTTATTCAACTGGTAAGGTGTGTACTTTTTCTGTGGTTCACGTTGCATATCTGCTTATGAATACATCTCTATGTATACGTCTTTATCCACAATTCTTGTTTCTCTTCATCTGTAGTTTGTTGCCACTTCATTAGTATTTCTGCATTATAAGTAGGGATGTGTATTGGGGGAAATAGGCTTGTCTGAAGAATCTTGAATGCCTCTAAGAGCAGAAGTGCTTCTGTAACTAACAGCAATAGCTGGGCCCCATTTAATAGTTTCAAAGAGGGAACCCTTTAGCTTGTATGACAAAAACAAATTAAAACAAACTTACTATCAGGTGTTTCTTCAGAGTGAGCAGAGAAAAACTGTAGTTTCCATGGTAGTTGACTGAAGCCATAGGTCTCTACATTTTTACCTGAGTTTGCAATTCAAAGTACAGTGGTGCCCCGCAAGACAATGATAATGTGTTCCATTGAAATTGCTGTTTAGCGAAATCATCTTGGGAAAAGAGTTTCCCCATTGGAATGCATTGAAACCCGTTTAATGCATTCCAATGGGAAAAATAGTTGTTGTTGCGTGAAGATCGCCCATAGGGAAGCCATTTTAAATCACTGTCTTCTGAAGCATCGGTGCCAAAACCACCCTAGGGAAGCCATTTTGCGGAGCTGCCAATCAGCTGTTGAATTAAACTGAACAATGGCTGGCTGCCGCCGCAAGCCCCATGTTGCTTATAGCCCCTGGTGGAAGGGAGCTCCTCCGTGCCCACCTAGCCCCAGTTAATGCCCAAGGGACCTCCCCTCTCAACTCCGTCCGGGGGATTCCCATGCCGTGGTGAAAGGGAGCCCCTGAGTACCCACATGGCCGGCAAAACAAAGGCGACCTCCGTCTCTTGTCCCCCAGGCAGGGGAACCCTTGCTCAGCGCTGGAAGGGAGCTCCTGAGTGCCCACATGGCTGGCAAAAACAAAGGGAGTTGCTAGACGCCTCCCATCTAGCAATGAGGGAACCTCCCCCTCCCGAGCCCCAGGCCGGGAAACCCCTGCTCAGTGCTGGAAGGGAGCTCCTGTGCGAACGTGGCCAGCAAGAACAAAGGGGACCACTCCCTCCATGTCCCAGCAGCCCCTGCCCGGACGGTGAAAGGAACGTCCTTCTGCGCAGAGATGGGGAAATCCCCAGGGGCTTCCCCCGCCCCACCAAAAGGGCGAAAACTAAGGCTAAAAGCGCCCGGGGAGGGAATTCCGCTAGCAGCCCGGGAAAAACCTCGCTGTTGCTAGCTTCCCAAGTAGCCCAGGTTGTCCCTGAAGCCACTCACGACCCCCCCCGCTCCCCAGACGCACCTCCGGTAAGCGCCGCTTGGTGTGGGAGGGCAGGGAAGCCAAGAGGAGGCAGGGAGCCGGTGCGCGCTTCCCG